TTTTTTTTATTATGTTGTGTAATAATTCTGCACATTTATAGTTGCCTGCCCTCACAGACATCCTCGTTAAATTGCCAAATCTAAGAAAAAAACCACATCAACTTCCAAAAATATGAAACTCTTATATTAAGGAGTCTTTGGGTTGATTGAGAACAGAATTGTGGCCCAATAATAAAAATAATCCTCAAAAATACAACCTGCCTAATAATTCTGCACACAGTGTAGATGAACGCATCCCTGGAAAAACCTTTTCTTTAAACAACAAACTTTAACGCGTTATTACAATTCTTTGTGACTAATTATTAGAATAAAGCTTCTAAAGTGGAATAAAAACAAGTTTTTACAAGTAAAAATATGAAAAGATTTGCATTTATCTGTATGGAGTCCTTCAGCCAAACTGGTTTTTCTTTAACCTTTAAAAGATGCAATAAATGAATAACATGGATCAAATTATCATTTTTGCTAGAATGACTTTGTCAAACTCTACATTTAAATCCAAATAAAAAAAACATAACTTCCACAAAATTTAAGTTTTTTCCCAAGAATAATGTCAAACATGCTGTTCGTCCAGGTCAGAGTCATTCTCAAAATGGCAGAAATGGTTATTTCTGACATTTCTGACATTTTGGATTGAAAAATCTTCCTGGATGGAAGAGAAACGTCTTCAAACTGGGAAATAAATTCCAGTTGATTGTTTAACTTTTTTTTGGAATAATGTCAAAAAATGAAAGGAATATCATCCTGCAGGCGTAGATGCAGTAAAATGCGTCTCCTTTTCTTTCCACTTCATAATTAATAAAACTCGTTAAAGTGTGACGTTGTAGCATGACTAAATGCTTTTATAAGGGACTTTCATTTAAAACTTTTGTATGAACATTTTGTGTTTGCTACAGGAAAAAGAAGCGGTCTACAAAATGTACCAGGAGGCTTATGTTGAACTAAGCGACAGCAGGGGGCGGAGCCAGCTGGAGCTGGGCTCGCTGAATGAACATTTAAGATTAGCTGACGCTGCGGTGCAGGAGGGGAGAGACCAAGCGGAGCTCTAACACCTAAACATTACAGCAAAGAAGAGTCTTTATGGAAAACTGATCTAACTGCATCAGATCTGTTCTCTTTAAACAACGCAGCATTTCTTTCAATCATCTACGTTTATTTCAGTTTTAATAAACATTTCTTTAGTGGACACACTTGTAAACATGCACACAAGAGTGAAGGTGGAGCCGAATGATTCAGAAGACGAGAGGTTTGGGCGTCGATATGAAGGCTGCAGGAAACAGCTCATTCATCTTGACTGTGCTGCCTGGTTTACTGTGCTGCCTGCTTCTCCATCAGTCCATATTGCAAAACGCCCTGCGGAGTAAACAATTACCAAAGTCAACAACAACAACAACAACAACATCATCATCATCATCATCATCATCATCATCATCATCATCATCATCAACATCATCATCATCATCATCAACATCATCATCATCAACAACAACAACAAGTCACTGCTTCAAAACATGCTTCACAAATAAAAGCTGGATAAGAACTAAGCTTGCATGGTTTTCTCTGAGTTCCCAGGCTGCAGACGCAGATTAGACTGCTCCAATCTTCAGCCAGTCTACAGGCCGTAGCTCTACAGGCCGTAGCTCTACAGGCCGTAGCTCTACAGGGCGTAGCTCTACAGGGCGTAGCTCTACAGGCCGTAGCTCTACAGGCCATAGCTCTACAGGGTGTAGCTCTACAGGGTGTAGCTCTACAGGCCGTAGCTCTACAGGGCGTAGCTCTACAGGCCGTGGCTCTACAGGGCATGGCTCTACAGGCCGTAGCTCTACAGGCCGTAGCTCTACAGGGCGTGGCTCTACAGGGCGTAGCTCTACAGGCCGTAGCTCTACAGGGCGTAGCTCTACAGGCCGTAGCTCTACAGGGCGTGGCTCTACAGGGCGTAGCTCTACAGGCCGTAGCTCTACAGGCCGTAGCTCTACAGATTGCAGCTCTACAGGGCGTAGCTCTACAGGGCGTGGCTCTACAGGGCGTGGCTCTACAGGCCGTAGCTCTACAGGCCGTAGCTCTACAGATTGCAGCTCTAC